TTACAGGCCCATCAGCCTCTGTGGTGTGGCTTACAAAACGGTCTCCAAGATTTTGGCAAATCGGTTGAAGCCTTTTCTGAGCAGATTCATTAATTCAAGCCAAACAGCATTCATTAAGGATAGGCTTCTCACTGATAATGTTATAGTGGCTCAGGAGGCAATCCACTTTCTTAATAGGCACAGATCGGGGAAAAAATGTTATATGGCCTTGAAACTTGATATGATGAAGGCTTTTGACCGTATAGAGTGGAACAGTATCATTAAAATCATGTTGAGCCTTGGTTTTCACTCTTCCTTTGTGCAGTGGATTTTTGCCTGTATATCAACATCATCCTTTTCTTTCAACATAAATGGTGATATGTGTGGTTATCTGAAGCCTTCAAGGGGTATTAGACAGGGGGATCCTCTATCCCCCTATCTATTCATTATTGTTTCTGAGATGTTCTCTAGACTCATTGGCTTTGAGGTAAGGGCTGGCAATTTCCAGGGGCTGAGATTGGTTAAAAATGGTACAAGACTTACTCACCTTCTGTTTGCGGACGACTCCCTCATTTTTTGTGAAGCTAACACCTCTCAAGCTGCCTGTCTTCTTCAAATTCTTCAAAAATACCAGCTTTTCACTGGGCAACTAGTAAATTTAGAAAAATCATCTGCTTTCTTCAGCAAGAACACACCTGCCACCACTCAACACTCCATCTGCCAAGTCTTAAATGGTATCACTGTTCATAGATCATCTAGATACCTTGGAATGCCCCTTGGGATTGGGAAATCCAAAAGAGAATCTTTCAATTTTGTGATTGAAGCAGTCAGAACTAAGCTCATAAATTGGAAAAACAGGTACCTCTCTCCAGCTGGAAAAGAGGTTCTTATAAAATCTGTTTTGAATGCTTTGCCAGTCTTCATCATGTCATGCTTCTGTCTCCCTAAAGGTCTATGCAAGGAAATCTCCCAACTTTGTGCAAGGTTCTGGTGGAGTTCTGGTGAGGAGAACAAACAAGGGATACACTGGAAGGACTGGAGATATATGACAACTCCCAAACAATGGGGAGGTTTAGGCTTCCAGGATGTGCAATTATTCAATGAAGCCATGATCATTAAGCAAATCTGGAGAGTTGCTACAAATCCAAACCTGTTGATGAGCAAAATTCTCAAGGAAAAGTACTTCCCTTCAACCTCTATCTTTGAAGCTTGCAAATCCACCAGTTCATCTTGGATGTGGAATAACTGGATCAAAGTCAAGATTAAATATCAAAATCAATTCAGGAGGGAAGTTGCTGATGGCAAGACCACTAGAATTTGGCAAGACCCTTGGGTGCCTGACCTCCTATCTGGCATTCCTAAAGGGAAACTTCCTCACAGATTCCATTTTTCTAAGGTTGCTGAACTTCTCAATGAGAATAAGAGATCATGGAATGCTGCTCTAATTAAAGATATATTCACTGAGGAAGAGGCTGCTGCTATTCTCAACATAAAGACACTCACACCTGAGAAATTTGACAAATGGTGCTGGAAAGGTAACAAAATGGGAAAATTCTCAGTGGCAAACACCTATGCCCAACTGATGCTGCAAAAAACTCTTGTGATGGACAGAGCTGAAGGGAGCAAATCAGCCAAGATGGACAAAGCAGCTAGAGATAGGTGCTGGAAACTTGGGATCAAAGGCAAGATTAAGCATCTAATCTGGAAGTCTTTCTCTAATTCACTACCAACAGGTGCCAACCTCAAGAAGAAAGGACTTGATGTGGATTACATGTGCCATTGCTGTGAAGAAGCCCCTGAAACAGTGGAACACCTTTTTTTTCACTGTCCAAGATCTCAACTCATCTGGAAGCTAGCCCCACTTGACTGGGGAAACTCTATGAATGAAGCTCACAATTTTAAAAACTGGTGGTGGTGGATAACTTCTGTGGACAGGAAAGAGACTTCAGAGCATAGAATCCAATTGTCCACTTACATCTTATGGTGGATTTGGAAAACAAGAAATCTATGGCTCTTTCAAAGGATATGGAGATCCGAGGCAGAAGTAATCAAGCTGGCTTTGGACGATTGGTCTGAGTACAATAGCAGATTCTCTCCTCTTAGTTGATTTTTCATGTTTTTGTCTTTTGGCAGGCATATATGGAGCTTAGGTCCTTTGGTCAGTTTGCTTCATGAATGTTCTGTTCTCTTTTTTTAGTTTTTCATCCTGTGGTTTTTCTTGTGATAGGTAGTAAGGGTCCAAATTATGTATTTGCCTTACTTCCTTGTTAGCTGTTGGTTTTGGTTCCTCATAGGTAGATTGTTGCTTTCCCTTCTATTGCTTTTCTTGCTGGTTGTTTAGCTCACTGGGTTGTGGTGTAGCTCTCTTTATTTAAGAGCTAGTTAGCTCTTCGATGTACTGAACTCTTTCGTTTTATTTATGAGAATTCCTATCGTTCCGGAAAAAAAAAAAAATAATAGTGTCGTGTTTGAAAACAAGCCTTTCCGGAGACGATTTATTTTTCGTTTTTTACCCATATTTACTCTTTTTTTCCTCGACTTCTTTAAATATATACGATTTTG